TTGAGAGGTTTTTTTCCCCCTTAAGCACACTGATATAATGGAAGTTTTAGAAAGACTAGGCTCAGATAACAAAGCATTGCTGACAGAGTGCCTTTTGGTGGAATTACACTCAAGTTACAACTTTATAGCAGATACATGTGAAATGATCATTAAAACAGCTCAGTAGTCTCATTTTAGTCTTGCACCAGCACTTCTCCTTCACTACTCCCCTGTTCCTCCTTCCCACACCCCAACTCCACGTGAAGCCACCCGACCTCTGCATGCTGCTTGCCACAGGTACCCCCCGTCTGTTAGTGCTGCAGGGGGTCCCCATGTCACCTGCTCTGGGTCTGGAGGTGACAGTGGGGGGGCTGGGGACTGTGCCCCACCTAAGCAGTGCTACCCTTCAGACTCTTCTTGCAGCCCCCACTGCGGAGACGCATGCTGAAGAAGCACCTCACTCAGGGTGGCTGCCGCTGGCCACCCACAGATGCAGGTGATGGTGAAGGTCCCAAAAGGCCACCCAGCAAGGCACAGTTCACAGGCAGCAGCTGCTCTTCCCGGTTAGTGCCTGGGGAAGCCAAGAAGCACGTATCCCAGCATTTCAGGGCACGTGGTAGCATGCTGCTGTTTACCAAGGTGGCAGTGGCAGCTTGTGCATTTTGACATGCCTGTTGCAGCCCTCTTACAACAGATTCCTAAAAATATTACCCGCGCTGGAAAAAAAAAGGAACAAGAAATGAGTATCCTGACTCCACATACCTGCCTAGAATCCAGCAGACTTAAAAAAAAAACCCACTTCTGTTTTAAATAAGAAAGCAGCATATCCTATTAAAAAACATTCACCTCTGCTTCACTCTGGCTAGTTTTAAGTCTGTGTGTTTTTCCCTTTGATCTGGATACTTTCATTCAAGCAAAGGCAAGACTCACAGTCACTCGGGGATGCGTGTGCATGCAAAAAAACCCCAACAAAAGCTTGTGTGGTAAGCCAGTGCTATACTGCACATCACAGCCAGAGCTCAACTCACGGGCCAAGTCTCTTGAACCCACGTGCTGAAACAGGGATACTCGCTAGTTCTTAACTCCACGCAGAACACAGTAGTACACAAACCAAACAGTGTCACACAACTTTTGATTCTCAACTGTCACATTTGACCCGACACTTGCGTGATTTAAGGGCGTACTACTCACAGCTATGAATTCAGATCAAGGTAGACCTATGATGACTGGCTGTAGAGAACACGAAAGTCTTTAAGATCGCCTGTTCTGATCTCATTTAGATCATAGATCATTTGCTCACTCATTGAAAAAGTCTCATAATTTACACTTTGATTACAGCCTACTGAGGATTAAAGTGCTACAACCCACTACATCTCATAGCAGTAGGCTGTTAACCAGTGAATCACCCCTGTGTTAGAAACTGAGCACACTTCTTTGGATCACAAGTCTTCCGAGCTTTCATTTTCCATCACTTGATAATTTTTATGCCTTGCTCCCTTAAATCAGAGACCAACACCACCCAAAATTGAGCAGTCAACGTTTGTTGTTATGTCATACTTGAGTACTCCCTTCATTACACTTTAATCTTTGAGCTTTAAAAACAAAACTGGCAACGCTTCCAAGATAGGAAGCCCAACAGAAACACAAAACTTGAGGCAGGGACTAGAAGGGACCTCTAGTTTATCAAGTCTAGTTGCCTACTATTCAGACACCATTTTGCATTTCATTTCTTTCACAGATATATTTGGCTCTTCCTTCAAAGCAGGTCTCTGCCTGGAAGGCTGTTCCAGAATTAGTTCTGGTAATTAGGAACTTTATTTCTAATCTAAATCTTATTTACAGAAAGTTTATACCCATTTGCTTTTGTTCTAACACTCCTTTAGCTCACAGAGCTTCTGCCCTTTGCCTGTCACTTGTACAAAAAAAATAGTAGTATTGTGACTCTATAAATGACCTTACTGCTACAGATTTTCTATGTATAAAAAAATAGGTTTACCCATGAAATTAAACTTCCAGAGCATACAGAAGATAAAGTATTTAACTTTCTAGAGTAAGGAACAAGAGGGGAAAAAAGGGAAGGAAAAAGAGCTGGCCAGAAGGCGTGATTTGTTTAGTTATCCAAAGCAGCTTTTTCTCTCCTCATGCTGGATAGACAGGCTTGTAGATATTGCAATCACTTGTTATGAGGGTGACACTCCCAGCAATCCACTGTAACGCTCCACATGAAAAAACTGTACAAAGTGAACTGTATGGAAGAAAGTTAATACCACTCCACTGACCATTGAAACAAAGACCAAAACACAATCTGTCTTGTTAAAAGGAAATATGATTTTAAAAGACATACCATCCTTGAGTTTGATACAGTGTATCTTCCAGGAAAGGAAACAACAAAAACCCCTAAGCTTCAGAAACAGTATTATGTATTTTCTATCTCTCTACTGATTCAACTTCAAAAAAAGAATAGAGCCAAAAAGGTCAATAAACAAACCATCCAGCATTCATTCACAGGCAACAGAAATCGAAGTACCATATGTACATTGTTCTCTCATATTATATCCAGAAGATAAAGCATGCAACACCATTAGTGTAAACAATGAAAAAAAGTGTACATTTTAGAGTGTGAAATACTTTTCCACTTCCACTAGTTTTATTAGAACCTTCCAAGTTGAGCATGAATCGGCCTACGATGGTTGCCAGGTCAGCCAGCAGACTTGCAGATAGGTATTCTGAATTTTAAAATCTATTCGTAAAACCCCAAATGACTGCACCAACAGAAGTCAACAACAGGAAAGAAAGAAGTTATTTTCAGTTTGAGACACACCATCATTTTATACCTAAGAGGATCCAACTCTACTGGCATTACTCTTGTATAAAATTTCCATATTTAACACCTAATTTAGAACAGGCAAACAAGGGTGTAGCAAGCCTTCTAAGAGCTCATGAAATAAATATAGTACAATAGGTATACAAAACTCATACTGCATGTTATTTTTAGGTAGGCTACATAATTTGTATTTCTACTGTGAGAACATAAACACAAAATTGACCTTTAGAAAATCATGATTTCATATAGAGTAAAAACACTTGCCCCTGTTTCTACTTACTAGTGTTTTAAAATAAACAGTAAATTGATACAGAGACAAAAATACTTCCATTGTAATGCAAACAGACAGCTTTTTAGTGTGTCCTCATAATTTGGGAGAGAAAAGCCAAATTAACCTGTCATACGAAGCATTTTAAAGTCAGAGCTAACTAGCAGAGAAGCCTCAAAGAAAATAAAAAACCCTCTTAGACTGAAAGTCACGGAATTTCAAGGCGAAGTGAGCTTTCAAGAAAACCTCGTCCAAGCACAACGAAATGAGAATGTTCCTCTCACTAGTCTCATAACATTCCACATTTCCACAGCTGAACCCCTGGTTCAGAGACCTACAACTGAGATAGCAATGAAAATGTAGGTCAAAGCCGAGGTACTACAAATGGTCAAAACAAAGTTAGAAAACTATTAAAAAAAAAAAATCAAAGTGAGCTGCTCTGGCTTTCTTGAGCAGTAACATATGAACCTATAGCAGAGTAAATAGCATAGTTTTAGTGATAATATAAAAATAGCTTGCAAGCTAAGTTACCTTTCAGACTAAATCCATATATTTCATATGATATGAACAAAGTTTAATTTTCTCAACTTATTTTATGCTTTTTTAAAGGCATTTTCTAAGAAATCTGTTTATTTTGTACAATTAAGCTAACACCTGCTGGGTTTGCATGCTTTTTAAGGATGCATTTTGTCACCTAGTAGAATACAAAACCACAGTAAAACAGTGCAAAATTTTGTAAAAATACTTTAAATAAATTTACACTTCACTAGAAGATTATTCAAGTTAAGAATTAATCACCAGATTCAACAGTGTAATTTCTTTACTTCTGTTATCCTCATTGCACATCAAAAACAAAGTTGCCATTTCTGTCCAGACTAAAAGAGTGGATCCTCAACTTCCACTGGTCTAATAAGCAAGCCAACAACCACTGCTGCATAGACAGCATCATTTTGGTCTTCTGCAGACAGGTAAAACCTGAACTCAGCAGAAATTTCTCACTATAAGCAAAATCAGAAGGCAAAACTTCAAAAGGACCCTTAGAAGCATAGATCCTCAGCAAGGATCAATACAGGTAGCCTCTCGGTGATTTCACAAAATAGCTCAGTATTTATCATCAGCTTTTTCTTAGCAATACAAGCCATGAAAGTTATAGATCACTAGATTTATTTTTTTTTTAAGAAAAAGTAATGGGTAACACATTTACTGCATTTCAAATTACCAGATTTTTTACTTCTGGAAATCTAAAAGTTTTCTACAAATGTATTGATTTCTAACACTGACCAAAAAAAAAAAAATTGACTACTAACACATTTTTCCCCTTTTCTGCAGCCTCAGAAAGTTTGTTTTAAGTTACAGTACTGCAAGGCACACACAGAATCTCTTCCTTTCCAATAGACAGCAGATATAGTCCCTGAAATAATTTTAAAATCCTCAAAACAATTACAAATGCTACAAAGTTAACAATTTCTATTTAAAAAACACTGTTCCTACAGAACATGCACTTTTGGAAAACAACTTAGCAAATATTTATAGATTTTTTTTTTTCTTCTTTACATTTAAACTGGAAATATATTGAATAATTTTTAATCTGGAAAGTACTGTATCATGTCACATTTAAGTTATTGCCTTCATTACAAATTGCATCATCTCTGAAATCCATAAAGGTGCCAGATTTGAAAAAAAGGTGGGAGTGAGAGACTACGTATGCAGTTTAGCCCATCTGAAAAAGATTTCCACATAAAGCAATACCACAGAGTGAAAAAAAAAAAGGAACTTGCTTCATTCAGTGGATGTGGACAATAGAAACTGATGTAAGTGCGTTTGTTCGGTTTAATGCAGTGTGATTAGCAACTACTTAAAAATCGCCATTTTCTGTCTTTTGGGCAAGCGTATCTTACTATAAAAGCAACTGAATTTTTAAGAGGTAGTTTTTTTCCATTATGCGCTTATTTATTTCAAATAAAACATAACCAGAAAAACCCCAACATTTGCTTTTGAACAAGAATCAAGTCTCAAAACTTAGTACAATATCTGACAAAGTTCAAAATCTCAGTTGTCCTCAGCAGTACCAGGCTGCTTTGGAACCAGTGTATCCCAGGTTGTCTTCATAGTCAAAAGACTAATCTACCAACAGTACTGAACCCACCCCCTCCTCCTCCACCTGTCGGTCCACAACTTCCCGGCGGGTCGTTGTCATCAAATCCATTGGGTCGGAAAGAGCATGAGGCTGAAGCAGCTTGAAGCGCTTGTGTTCGAGCGCTAAGCTCTTGCTCCTGAAATGAAAGAGTGAAGACAATTTGAAAAACAACACCAAAACCACCTCAGGTCCTTGAAGCAGCTTATTTCCAGTAAATTTTGAAACAGCTTTTAAAGCAACATCACTGACTTCTGAACTCTTAAGTCTGAAGGGCTTTGTGGAACTTCAGGTTGAATATCCACAGCCAATCCGAGATGTACAATTTCATTGAACGTCAGTAAGTACATGTGAATGATAATTAAATCCATTTAAGTTTATACTAAAATCCTATTTTATAGCAACACAGGATGCTACTAAAGAATTAGACTGCTGATCAAAAGCTAACAAAACATTAGTTTTTGATATGTGTTTCCCACGAATTTTCATCCTAGCAATTTTAAGATGCTCTTCTTCTTGGTTGCCAAATAGAAAGCTAAGAGCATTAAATCAATGTTAATTATTTAAGAGACACTTTTTTACTCCACTCAATCAACTGCATAGAGTAACAATGCACCCAGATAAAAGGCAAAAAGATGGACAAGCTATTTAGTTTTTTCAATGCAGCTTTCTAACTTTCAAGTGTTACTGCTATGCTAACTCTGTTTCAACATTAGCAAGTCTCAGGAACTCTCAAGCACTCCATAAAATCAGAGTCAGCTGCTGGAAAAAGTACCAGCACAAGCAGCAGGAACAAGCAAGCACAACCTCCTGCCAGCTCTTTTTGAGCTGAATTCCCCCATGGCTTCTTAGACATTTAAGAGGATGAGCAAAGGCTTTTCCCTCATTAGATACATCATATACTATTTTGTCTCTGGCCAACTAGCTTCATAAACTTGCAGCAATTTCTTGTCTTTAGTACCCTTTTCTCAAACTGGCCAAGAGCTTCAAAAACTGAGGAAGAGAAAGCAGGTGCTGGGCTCTGGAAGAATGACAAGACAACAGACCTGTACAAACTTTATTTCTTTAAGAAACAAACCAAAAGTGTTCAGGTGCTACGGCTCACAATGATAGGCTTCCTTCACATGACACTTCGTCACTACCAACCTCCCTAAAGGCAATGGGAGGAAATTTTAACAGGGTTTTAGTAATTACATGGGTCACCTTGAATAGTTCATTTTCTCCTCCACCTCCTGGCGAAAGCAATGAACAGAGTCAAGAACCTGGAAGACTCTATGATACTACCATGAAAGCACTAAACTTAGTCTTGTCCAAGTACTTTCACAGGTGCTAAAAATAGTACTTGTGGGTTTAAATTACTCAGCCCTCTTAGAAAAATACAGCCTAAGTTTGAAACTATTTTACACTACTAAGGACTGAAATTCATACTCATTTCCAGAACTATATAAAAGATATTTGGAGGACATAGCATAAATCTGTCTTTCACGAATATGGCCCGCATATCTGTGTAGACTATCTCCGGCAATACCTGGATTCTTATGTACCTACTAGTTATAAAACACATCAAAAACTGAGGAGATTTACTAGGAATAACAAGGGAATACGAAGAACTCACTTCTAGTACCAGAAATCAACAGAATAATTGCGATGAAAATAGCAGGCCTTGTAAAGTAAAGAGCCTGTTTCGTTGGAAACTGCACCGCAGAACTGTTTAGCATAGAAAAGAGTTTCATCTCAAAACCAGACAGTGGGAGACCTGCTAAGCTGTACCTGGGCTGTTTTTTTCTCTTTTTTTTTTTTTTGTAAAATATTTCAGAAAAATATTTGTTTTAATGCAGCACAGTATCAAACCAAAAACGGGAGACTTCCTTACTCCCTCCTCCACTTCAGAGAACTGTTTTCTGGCAACTTCATACCTTTTAGACCCCAGTAATGGAGTTTCACCTAACAAACTTTACTACCAAAGAATATAAGCATCAACAAGAGGTTTGTGGATTATGCTATATTAAATAAAAAATTTAGAACTGTAGACAAATCAAACACCAGAGTCTTACAGCTAATATTTTTTGATAGATTTAGCTAGAAACTATGATTTAGCTATGATTTATTTTAATTTGCCTTACTGCAGTTAGTGAATAGCATGAGGTTTTGACATAGCTGTGCAGCTATAATTACTTCATGTATGTCTTCTGTTGTGTACCTTGCACAAGACCATTAGCAACAGTACGATTGTTCTACTGTCACTAGGCTTCCTTACAGAGAGGGGATAAGCTGACAGGAGAAACACTACTACAAACAGCAACACCACAGGACCTTGCATATGACTTACATGCAGGCCATAATGCACCGGGAACACGATAAACCTCAGTTGAGATCTTGGTTTCATCGCTATCGTGTACAAAACATTTCATATCATGGATGGAAGCTATGTCTCTATACATGCACACACAAGAGAATTTGGAGTAGTGATCAAATTATCAGTTGTTAGAGTTTCTTGACAGAGCACTAGTATTAAAAGCCACACACTACTTGTGCCATCAACGCTAGAAGTGAAATTATTTAGCAGTTTAAGACCTTTCAATGCTTTATTCCTTTTCAGTAGTTTGGGCTAAATGAGCACATTGCTTTCTTCTCTCAAAGCATATATTAGCTTAATTAATATTAACCTACAGTAAATTGTTCTAGTATAACATACAGCACTGGCATTTTTGCAAGAAAAATCTTTGTTTCTAAAAAAAATGTTGAATGTTTTCAGGCTGACTGTATTTATCTCAACAAATACTAAATCACCTAAGTAAAACTTGACAGTCACTACAGTTCTCTGGACTGAGAATAACCCAGAGCATACCCTCCTACTTTCCACTCCTTCCCAGAATGGGATTTTTATTTTGTTTTAACTAGAGTAGGAGCTACCCATATTGCAGATTTTGTTATTTAAAGTGAAAACATTTTTGTTTACCATGTGGTAAACTGGAATGCAATAGTAAAACAAAACCAGTAAGCTAGAGATTTTTTGGAACAATTCTTCTAAAAAATAAAGGCTTTCTAAGGTCAGAAAAGTATATTCTTAACTTAGCAGGAAAACACTAGTTTAGAACTCTGAACAACAATTAAATGTGACTTCTCAAAAATACAATAACCTAACTCAGTGAATCACAACATTAGTATTAATTTAAGAAAAACAATAATAGAGCATTTCTAATAAGCCTCATTTAAATTGAGAAAAGGACAGGATCAATAACTCTGCAGTTAGTCACCTAACTACAAAGAAAGCCAATACTGAAGAATCCAAAATTGAAAGGTGAGTAAAAGATCATAAATAAAAAAAAAAACAAACAAGAAAACAACTAAAACCCAAATAAAAACTATATATTTTGGAAAATTTTTTTTTCCCCATTTTGAGGAGACTATATTTCTTAATTTTTTGTTTGTTTGTTTTTAATTGTGAAGGAAAGGTTTTCAAGAAACTATTAACTTGGCTTTCACTTGTAAGCTATAAGAGAAAATGACTGTGCTTTATATAGCTTCAGCTATGTGTTCTGTAGAGAAAGCACTAGTCTGAAAGATTATCAAAAAGCAATTTTTGTGTATATGCATCAAGTGACTAACTTTTACAAAATCACATTGATTTTTCACTGGTTTTAGGTGTACAGTAGCATTCAAAAAGCTTAAAGTAACTAACTTCTTAGCATATTCCAGAAATTGCACCAAAATAGCCTTGAAAATGTTAATCCAGAGAAACATATTGAAGAACAACTCAATTATTTAACACATTATTTAAAAATACACAAATAAGAACAGTTACTAGGATTTATATTCCGTGTGGGTGACACTATTCCTCCTTTAATTGTTTGGCTTTGTATAAAGAAAGTTACAATATTACTGTAGTTGTACTACTTTTCCTCAGGCTGTATTCTTAAAACAGATTTTTTTTTTCTGTTACTCAATTACCTAGATTCTGCTGTAATTATATATACCTAAAATAAAAAATCATCTGGCTTCAAGTTCGAAATGTCACAGTTTAAGGCATTCAGGCATCAACGGAAGTCACAGCAATTCTGACTGAAAACATGATGTTATCTTGGAGGCAAGTCCATGCTCAGGGCAGTGGGCAAATCCCCTCCTTGCCCACCTCGCTTTCCCAGGTGCCTCTGCACAACAGGTATAAGGCTCTGGATGTGGAAGGCCAGTCAATGGATGATGGTCCACCTACACCACAGGCATCGCCAAGGTCAGAAAGGCTTACCCCCACTCGCAGTACTGCATCCAACTCTGTAGTTCTCAGCACAGGAAAGACACAGACCTGCTGGAGCAGGTCCAGAGGAGGGCTACAAAAACTAGAGGAATGGAACACCTTTCCTGTGAAGGCAGGCGCAGAGAGATACGGTTGTTCAGCCAGGAGAAGAGAAGGCTCTGGGGAGACCTTATTGCAGCCTCTCAATACTTACAGGGGGCTTATAAGAAAGATGGAGACAAGCTTTTTAGCAGGGCCTGTTGCGATAGGATCATGAGTAATGGTTTCAAACTAAATGAGGGTAGATTTAGAGTAGATAAGGATGACCATTTTACAATAAGGGTGGTGAAACACTGGAACAGGTTGCCCAAAGAGATGGTTGAGACACCATACCTAGAAACATTAAAGGTCAGGATAGATGAGGCTCTGAGCAACCTGATCTAGTTTAAGATGTCCCTGTTCATTGCAGGGGAGTTGGACTAAATGACCCTTACAGGTTCCTTCCAACCCAAACTATTCTATGATCTGAGATTGCTGCTAAAGAAGCCATGTTTTGTGCTACCCTGTACAGTCAAGAAGAGAGGCAGCATACAAAGAGAAGGTTAGGACACAAATGCTTTAACCACATAGACCGAAAATAGCAGAGTTAGAATTTAAACTCACAGTTCCTTTGTTTACATTTGTAAAATATCTGCAGCTATTATAACAGATTTTCCATAGTGAAATTTAGCTGTTCTTTCTAATTTGAATTTACCTCGTTTTTCTAATTTGAGCAGGCATAGAACTCTCACAGGAATAGCTTAACCCAAAGAGCACACGGTAAAACACACTTCTCTTACACTGTCCAAACATAGCAGCAACACTTGAAGCAAAACATATCAAAACATGCAGAACAGTGGGTTTTTTAACAGCAATCGAAGAGACAACTACAGCTAGGTGAAGTTCTCAGAGCACAGGGAATGTGCAGCTGGCAGTGCTGGTCCCACAGAGGGAGGCTGAATAAGGAGCAAAAGAAAAGTTCAATCTAGTCACTAGCGTCTGGTCTTCATTTTAGTGGTTCTAGTATTTGGGTAAGCACAGTTGTGTAAATAAAACTTCACTCCAAATGAAAATGTGTAAGAACATCGCTAAAAAGTTTTCAAGTATACTTTAGCTACTCTTGTAATTTATTAAAGGCAATGAAAATTAGAACTGTTCAAAAAGCCTCTCCTGCATAGGATTACAAGTAGTTTAACGACCTATGCAAGGATCTCCACTGAAAATGTAAACCGAGACGAGTTTAAGCCTTTTTCCTCGACGTTTCCCATCTAATGGTGACAACCTTGCTATGAAAACCGTCTAGTAACATCAAGATGGAAGCAAGACTGGTGATTTATAAGGGTAACATACCAGAATATTTAAAAGCTAACTTTCTTTTAGATGGTTTGTTGTGAGTTTTAAGGAGACCACTCTTCATATACAATTTCCATCTTACCTGCAAGTACAGTTTGTTATCTTTCGTAATCGCATCCATGAGGTCTTTTTGTAGGGGAGGGTCTCCATTTACCCAGAGTCCATTTGACGAATTGGTGTTGAAGCCACAGTTGGTATTCTGTTTTTTGTAAAACAGAACATAAGCAGTGTCCTTCGGAAATCTACTGGTAATTTTCTGGACTGACTGAAATGAGGTAAATGTCACTCTGCTGTCATTGAACAGAAACCATTCTCTTGGCATCTCAGTGTCCAGCTCATTTTCTACAACAGTACAAGGACTCTCCTCTGTCAACAACTTATCCTGAGGAGAAACTAAAGTAAGAGCTGTAGACTGGTGACAGAGTCCTGAAGGCCCTGACCCAGTAACATTTCTAGCATATGAATAATAATGTCCACTTTCAGAGGATACTCCAGAATGCACCACCACAGAGCTTAACGTGTAGGGCACCAATTGTGGGTAGGTCACTTCTTCAGCACCTGAGGGCTTCAGTTTTTTAGCAAGATTTTCTCCAATATCAGAAATCTCAACACCTACAGACCAACCTCCCGAAACTACAGCTAGAGGGGATGTTGCTTTTTTGACTGGCAGTTCCAAAACAAGTGGCAGAGACACATTGTCCAAGATTTTGCGCCTTATATGACACTTTGGATCATATGAAAATCTCAAAAGAGTGAGAATGAGGTATTCAGGTTCCTCAATGATTTGCATAGTTTTCTCAGCATTCTGTAGAGAGGCACACTTTTCACAATAATACTTATTGTCTCCACTGAGGATCTCGGGTGCCAGAAAATAATTCAGTAGGTCTGTAACTGACAGGGTGTTTTTACCTACTAGCCTCTGAGACATATCCCTATTATCTTGAACTTGGTTGAGTTCAGAATTTGCGGTAGTCTCAGAGTTTGGCTCAGTAGAAAAATCTTTTATGGTTCCTTCATTCATTATTGTGTCACATTCACCATTTACTTCCAAACTATTGAGAGAGGTTTCTCCAGCAGAGCTAGTTGCTAAAGCATTAGTTTGCACCATGTAGTCATCTTTCACTTCAGAATATTCCATACATTTTGAGCCAACGTTCTCCAAAGAAGTTGGAGGACAGAAAGCCAGAGAGAGATCTGTGAATGCTTCTTCCTTTTGAGACATACTTTTGCAGTTCAAACAGCATATAGTAGTCTTCAATTTTCCTCCAAACATCTTCTCTATCAGAGTTCTCTCTTCACTTCCCATACAAGGTGCTTCAGCAAATACTTGTGCTTTACGGACAGCTTCTTGTGTCTGGGACTCTTCACTCATACTTTCAGTCTGTGCTGAAGACAACAGTTTCAAGGTCTTCTCTTCTTCATGCAGCCTGAAGACAAAGAAAAATAAATCTGAGTAGCTGCTCTGTTTTCCAAACAAATATTGCTACACAATATCAGACTTTTTCCAGTTATGCTAAAAAATACAGATGGTTAAGTGGCCAGAAGTCTTACATTACAAAGCTATTTGTTATGTTGTATATAAGCAAGCTGAACCATACATGTCAGTACTAGGCAAAACAGAGTATGAGAGAAGTACAAATGCATTTAATGACAGTTTCATTATATATATCAGAACACAATGGATACACTGAGAGAACTGGCAAGTTTTAAAAAAAACCAACCCTAACAAACAACATTCTTAGTATTTATCATTACATTATCTTAATAAATCAGTTCTCTAGTTGACTGGTTCTGTATGTCAGATTTGTTAAGAGAACAAGTAGCTATTTATCTAGTGCCAGAGTATTTCCACAGAAAAGGTCAGGATTTTGTAGCCAAGTAAGTTAAGAAACTACAAATCAAAAAAGAAACCCAAGACAGGGAAAAAAAAAAATAATGGTTTTAAATAAATAAATGAAAGAACACTATTTCACTATTGAGATAAACGTCTCCAGAAGTGGAATGTGTCTTAAAGCAGTATCGCTTAGGCCACATCTCAGCAAGCCAAAACTGAAGAGGGCTACTAAGAAACGTAGGTGTTTTTGTTTTACCTGTGCCATAGTTAATTCACTTTTTATTAAACTGGTTATAAATGCATGTACATCTCTTCACTTCTCTGACTCGTATGAAACATGGCTGTCTCCACCAACACGAAATTCCAGATGCACAACTGAACTGCTTTCAGCAACCACATTAATTTTACAACAGGACCATGACTCTACCAAGTTTAGATTTGTAAAAATGGAACATTACTACCACTATAACCTGCTTTAAATGATGTGGATACAAGGTGCTATTCAGACTTTACCATAAAACAAACCCATGAAGAAAAGTGTTTCATAGACCATCAGAAAACCAGAAATAGCCAGGAAGGAGGCCCAAAATACCTGGTCCCCAATCATGCAGTGGAACTGTTACAGAACTGCTCTGAACAGTTCAATGTTATGTGGCAAGACTGTAGGTTCATTCACACTAATGGCACAATAACCGTACCTGTCTAGCAGGAATCTGAGATATTCTGAGCAATCCTGCTGGGATCGAGGGGTGAACCATGGCGGTCTGGAAGCCTCAAAGAAAATCCTAGGAGCATATGCCTCCCTCTGTTTGCATAAGAGAGACACAAAGTTACCTAAGAACTACTTAAAAAATTGGTTCTATTATTTCAATATTGATCACTGAGCTTTGGACGACACGATTCTAGAGGAACTGTATGAAACACACGGTACACAAACATTTAAATAATTTAGTCATATGAAAAGAAAGCCATTAATTTTGTAGCAATCACCTCTAGTACAAATATAAAAGTAGTGGATCCTGCAGGCAAATATTAAATGTGTAGTCAGTGTAAATCAGATGTTACTTGTAATAGTAGTTACTCTTCTTGCTAGCAAGCTTAAAAAAAAGGGTTTTTTTCAGAACACCAACAGTATTTCTTAAGTATCAATTCATTTTCAAGGTGACCCAGCCTCATCCTCTTCACAAGTTTGCTATTAATCAAAGAGAACACAGTGTTGTATGTCTTTCCAGCACTAGCAAAACATTCTGAACACTTAATAAAGTTCACTTCAAAAATTTGAACTACAATAAAATTTAGTATAAAAATCACTGTGTAAAGTCACAGTTTAACCTAGAAGTCAGCCTGTATATCAAGTCAGGTCTTATTTGGATTTTTTCATTTTGCTTCTCAGAGAAAACCTGTTACTGCCCATTTATAAAAACAACACAATGCCAAGACGTTCTACTTAAGAAAAGGATTTCTCTAAGTCCATCCACATCATCTAAACATTTGGAGGCAGATTCATTCCCCTACAAAACTATCATTTACATTTGTAATATAATCAAGAGGACTTCAGTGGCATCATTTTTGTTCCTACGTTTTGGTGTATAGATCTAGGCTTAAAAAATCACAGACGAAAAACTGACGTACCTGGGTATGGGCCAAAAATGCAAAAAGATGCTGTAATTTTCTCATTAGTGTATTACACCCATTTAGATTCAGAGATAAAACATGCCTTCTGAAACTGAAAAAAAAAAGATATAGACATTAGTCTCCTTGCTAGATTTCTAACAACACAGTTACCATTTCAGCTCAGATAGCTACTTCAATTTGAAAGAAAACAAAACATGTAGCACTTCCCTTCAATATCTGGATTGTTCTACAGTGCAGATGCAAAGCCACTGTACAGCAGGAACTCCTTCAAAAAATGTACTACTTTAAACATTCAAATGTGTAAGAACGGGCTATAGACAGACAAAATTTTCTTCAATAGCTTCCAGATTAAAACAAAAGCATCACCATAAACTTGTACAATACTGAAGGGAGCAAGGACACCGAGGAAAAAGTGACTTGTCTTTTGACACCGGACAGAGGATTAGGTTTTTAAGTGGCTAAAATTGTAGTTTCAGAGAGCTGGACTTTAACAAAGCAATCAGTAACTGAGTGCAAAGAAACCCACTCAGCTCTAGCAAGCTGAGAGACCCCAGGACATGTTAATATTCTGTGAAAAGCAAGAGTGCAACAACTGCAATAGTTGATTTGCAATGAAGAGAGCTATTAAAAAGGACTTACTCTGTAGCCATAAAAAGCGCCTGAATAACACTGTTCATGTAGCAAGTATTTCCTAGATTAATTAGGCCTGTCTTCCCAGTTTCAGATTTTCCGGAAAGTCTTGATAAACAAGATGGCAAAGAACTAGATTGAGAAGTCCAAGCACTCTGATTGAGAATCAATTTAATCTTCTCTTCAGTGGGCTTGGGCATATCCTACAAGAGAAACATTTAACACACGTAATCGGTTTCTATTTTTGTTTTTCTAATAGGTCTTGCCATTCAGCAGTCTTATATCTTCATTTGCTTTCATATTCTCCTTCGGGGTCTTGCTGTCCCTGATAGCCTAGAAGATACAACTCCCCCAAGCCCTTTTCTTCACAGCTTTCTTCACTCAACTCTCAAACTGCAGGAAAAAGGAGCTGGTGGTCACCTTTGACCTGCATATTCAGAGAATCCTTTCTGCCATCAAAAACCTACTTCTCAAATTTCAAGCTTTAATTCTTAAAGCATCCTCTATTCTGCTAGAAATACATT